GACAACATGGATCACATGGATCACACCTATAATCCCAACACTCTGGGAGGCTGAGGTGGATGGAAATCCTGAGCTCAGGAGTTCCAGACCAGCTTGAGTAAGAGCCAGGCCCTGTCTCTACTAAAAATAGAACTACCCAGGAAGTGTGGTGGGCACCTGTAGCGCCAACAACTTGAGAGGCTGAGGCAAGAGGATCAGTTGAGCCCAGGAGTCTGAGGTTGCTGTGAGTTGATGCCACAGCACTGTGGCACTATACCCAGGACAACTGAGACATTGTCTCCAATTAAAAAAAAAAGGGAAAAAAATATTTTCATGAATCATCCCTTATGTACAATGCACCACATTACATATCACAAGAATTAAATGTGAAATTAGGCAGCCTCCGCATGGCTGGCAGGAGGCATGAACATGGTGGGGCTGTCTCTCCACAGATGGCCACAAGGCAGCTGCCTACACATAAGGACTTTGAGTCCTTCTTGGAGGACATCACTCTTTATCCTCATTTGTACTCACAGGCATACATTGATTTTATTTTTATTTTTTATTTTATTTTTTAATTTTATTATTTTTTTTTATTAAATCATCACTTTGTATATTGATGCATTTATGGGGTTCAGGGTACTGTTTTGATATAAAATATGAAATGCTTACATTGAACTAAGTAACACATCCATCACAATTATACTGTTCTTTTACTAGTTTTGAAATGTACCATTGCATCATGCACATTAGGTGAGGTCACCCAAATGCCCTCCCTCCGCCCATATCCCTCTTCCCCTCCCTCTCTTTCCTCTTCCCTTCTAATTTCTGGACTATAGTTATGTTTTGCCATTCATATGAGTGTGTAGGTGATTACATATTGATTTCATAGTAGTAGTGAGTAAATTGGATGCTTTTTTTTCATTCTTGAGATACTTTACTAAGAAGAATATGTTTCAGCTCCTTCCAGGTAAACATAAAAGATGTGAAGCCTCCAACTTTTTTATGGCTGCATAGTATTCCATGGTGTACATATACCACAATTTGTTAATCCATTCATGGGTCCATGGGCACTTGGGCTGTTTCCATGTCTTGGCTATTATGAATTGGGCTGCAATAAACATTCTGGTGCAAATGTCTTTGTAAAATAATTTTTGATCATCTGGGTATATACCTAGTAGAGGAATTGCAGGTTTGAACAGTAAGTCTACTTTTAGTTCCTTGAGTGTTCTCCAAACTTCTTTCCAAAAAGGTAGTATTAGCTTGCATTCCCACCAGCAGTGTAGAAGCATTCCCTTCTCTCCACATCAACACCAACATCTGTAGTTTTGGGATTTTGTGATGTGGGCTAATCTTACTGGAGTTAGATGATAATTCACAGTGGTTTTGATTTGCATTTCTCTGATGATTAAGGATGATGGGCATTTTTTCATGTGTTTGTAGGCCATATGCCTATCTTCATCACAGAAGTTTTTGTTCAAGTCTCTTGTCCACATAGAAATGGGGTTATTTATTCTTTTCTTATTGATCAGTTTGAGTTCTCTATAGATTCTAGTTATTCTACCTTTGTCAGAAGCATAACTTGCAAAAATCTTCTCCCATTCTGAAGATTGTCTGTTTGCTTTACTTACTGTGCTCTTGGCTACGCAAAAGCTTTTTACTTTGATCGAATCCCAGTAATGTATTTTTAGTGTTGCTTCAATTACCCAGAGTGTCCTCCTCTTAAAATATTCTCCCAAGCCAATTTCTTCAAGTGTTTTCCTTGCACTCTCTTGTACTATTTTTATAGTTTCATGTCTTAAGTTTAAATGTTTTATCCAGTGAGAATCAATTTTTGTTAATGGTGAAAGGTGGGGGTCCAGTTTCAGTCTTCTACAGGTTGCCAGCCAGTTTGACCAGCACCATTTGTTAAACATGGAGTCTTTCCCCCACTGAATATTTTTGATAGGCTTGTCAAAGACCAAATGACAATAAGTAGCTAGGTTCATCTCTTGGTTCTCTATTCTGTTTCTCCCACTCTGTTTTTGTGGGAGTACCATGCTGTTTTGATCACTATTTATAGTATAGCCTGAAGTCTATTAACATGATACCTCCTGATTTGTTCTTATTTCTGAGTAATGTATTTGCTATTCAAGGTTTATCTGATTCCATATAAAATGCAGCACTATTTTTTCAAGTTCTTTAAAGTACAACAATGGTGCTTTAATAGGG